CTGCAAAAATTAATGAGCACAAGTAACTTTACGCTAATAACCTCTTTGCTCCGGAGAGTAAAACTCATGACCTATTAGTGTAGAATTTTCCTCAAGCTTCACTAAAAAACAAGTGCAATTATAAGGTTACAACTCAATAACCAAAGAGGGTATAAAATCTAGTACCTTAACCTTTGCAATCAACTACTATGGACTCTAGCCTAGAAAGCAACTCAAAATCTCCAAAATTATTTACCTAAGATAATACTTCTCAAAAGCAGAATAGGCTATAATTATTAAATCTCTCGTCAAATCTTGTGCTTAAAGTACTCCATTAAAAAATATTTTGGCTTTCTTTGATATTTTGGTTTATAATTTGATGATAGGACTTATTGGCTGGCGGCACGGACACCTCAGCAACAACCGTTGAATGGGCTTTTTATGAACTTCTTAGACAACCTAAGATTATGAAGAAAGCACAACAAGAGCTAAGCCTTGTCATTTCACAGGACAGATGGGTTCAAGAAAAAGATTACACTCAACTCCCTTACATTGAGTCAATCATCAAGGAAACATTGAGGCTTCACCCAGTAAGCACCATGCTTCCACCGCGCATTGCCTTGGAGGATTGTCATGTAGCAGGCTATGACATACCTAAAGGTACAATTTTAATTGTGAACACTTGGAGTATTGGAAGAAATTCACAGCATTGGGAGTCACCAGAAGAATTCCTTCCGGAGAGGTTTGAAGGGAAGAATATTGATGTCACAGGACAACATTTTGCGCTCTTGCCATTTGGCGCGGGCCGGAGAAAGTGCCCAGGATACAGTCTTGGGATTCGTATAATTAGGGCAACTTTAGCTAACTTGTTGCATGGATTCAACTGGAGATTGCCTAATGGTATGAGTCCAGAAGACATTAGCATGGAAGAGATTTATGGGCTAATTACACACCCCAAAGTCGCACTTGACGTGATGATGGAGCCTCGACTTCCCAACCATCTTTACAAATAGTGGATAATTAAAACCATTAAAATCGTTTTGTTATATGCATGTCTCATATTTGTAGCGGTCAAAATGTTTGTTTTCTATCATGGATGTTCAGTGCGAGGTTGGGAATTTCAAGTCATTAACGTGTGAAAATATTTTAAATTTATAAATGGTTTCGTGATTTTTAACGTTAAAACAATACCAGAAAGATTTATAGTGCAAATGAATTTTACTGATACAAGTACGGACAACAGAAGACTTTAAATCATAGAAAGAGGTTTTGACTGAAATACAAGAACTTAAAACTCAAGTATTGGAACTCTGATCATTGTTCAATTCTCTAACAAACAACCCAATCGGACATAAGAGAGAGAGAGAATTAAAACAAGAAATCTTACCCTTTTGGAGACATCCAAACCTTGGTTCAATGTAGAATAAAAAGAGACAATCCCCAAAGTTTTCTGATATCCGCAACTTTAATTTCTAGAAAGTGAAAAGGTTAAATTCCCCAAGCCTTCTTTGACCCAAATATGAAAAAATTCTTGGATATTCTTTGAATTGCTTTAATACGCTGCACGAAATAAACCCAAAGTCCATATGACAGTGCAAGCAGGCCTTTGTAATAGGCTTTGTTTCCTCGATAACTTAATTGATGTTCAAAGACTGAAACTTGGATTGTTCATTTCGCATTTTAATCTCGAAGTAATTGGATCAAATTGTATTAATATTTTATCTTTCTTCTTCATTAAGAGAGAAAAGACTTCTCAAAAGCAAAGAGTTTGTAAAAGATGCAGAGCAAGAAAAGCTACTAAGACATTTTTGACCTAAGCGATTTGAATTGATGATTGACAAAGGAACACATGCATGAACCAGCTCCATGGATAGTGTATATAGGTGACAGACAGAATCAAGCAAAACGCATGCACGTGAAAGAGATAAGTATAAGTGGTTATTTCTGATAATCCCTGGACAAAAATGTTGCATAATTAATAAGGAACATGACTCCTTAATTGAAGAGAACTCTATCCAAGATAAGAGAAGGATTAGAAGTTGAAGTTGACTAGAACTCTTCTGCCAAGGAAGAGTAAAGCATTAGAACTCTAGTTAATCCTTATTCTACTAACTCTATAAATATCAGTTGTGTTCTCTTTTACAGGAAACTCACAAATACAAAAGTGAAAGCACGAATTGAGAGCAAAATAGCAAGGCATTTTGTGAGCAATTCCTGTGAGATTCAAGAGTGTGATCCTCAAGCTACATGAACTAGATCCATAAAGATTTATATGTATCTTTCTTTATTTTTAGTTTAAAGTATAGTAGGCATTTTGAGTTGTACCTTTAAGCTTTCATAGAAGCAAATTATACTAGGTACATGACTTATATTATTCAAGTTAGAGTTAACTTGAAGCAGTCGTAACAGTCTGTGGCGTGTTGCTACACAGGTTAGAGATAATCATTAGGCTCTCAAGAGGTTGTAAACTCGACTTGTATTGTTCAAGTTAGAGTTAACTTGAAGTAGTCGCAACAGCTTGTAGCTGGTTGCTACAAGGGTTATAGGTAATCCTTAGATTTGCAAGAGTTTTTAAACTTTGTTGTTGGCTCAGATTTGTAGTGAAAATCCCCAAAGTTTTCTGATATCCGCAACTTTAATTTTTATAAGTGATAAGGTTAACTTCCCCAATCCTTCTTTGACCCAAATATGAAAAAATTCTTGGAAATTTTTTGTATTATACTCAAACAGAAAATTGAAAAATAATTGGAAATGGGACAACAATGGAGTTTTATTAATATTTGGATGAATTACAGTAATAACTCTCAAATGAATTACAGTAATAACTGTCGCGCCCCCTTTTTCCTCGCGGAGTCCGGGTTTCGATATTCATTTGGAACAACTCGTTTCCTTTTGGGAGTTGGGTATTTGAAGAGTCGCCACCTAACGGATTAAGGTGCGTTAGGGAACCTAGGGCAATTAACTCATATAACTAGTTTGCATTACCAGAGATTAGGGTAAAGGCTCGAAATAACCTCGAGGGAAAGGTGTGAGGCACCCCTCGTGGTCCACAATGGTTGGTGCCAGCCGAACTCAGTTATGTGAATTAGTCATTTAATAGGTAAGTAATCTAAGCACACATATGTAAATAAAGGAAGTTTAGGCAGTCTAAGCACACATATGTAAATAAAGAAAACTTAGGCAGTCTAAGCACACATATGTAATTAAAGGAAGGGAAGTCCTAAGTTGGTTAGCCTATAGGATCATATCTGTACAATACCCGATAAGCCTTCCTCAAATAGAGGGGTTACATGTTGTATTAGCGCACAAGTCATCATATCCTTTTACTATCCATTACCCTCCCCTTAGCGGTTATATAAGCGATTTTTAATTAACAACTCTAAGCGTGGTTTACCCGTCCCTTCCTTGTGGTCCTGGATGAGTTTAGGACCTCTAATTTTAGGCAGTTCCA